CGGGACGGTCATTTTCACATTCCCACGTAGATAGATAATCACCTCGACCCATCATAAAACGAAAAAAGGTTTCCAAACAGACGAATGTAAAGGATTTTGCGAAGCTTTTGGACTCTGCATCTCCTACAACAACAACAAAAATATGAGCCGCGCGAAGCAACATAGCTTGTTAAAACTCAGTCTTAGAAAATAAGAACTCTCAAAGGCATGCAAAATTTTTTTTTCTGTCCGAAAATTGATTATTTTTTTTTCTTGTTATTTGGAATATGTTCGCAGTTCTTGAATGGCCATGGAAACTAGTAATAATACTTCGTATGTCAACCTGAGTGGTTCCTCGGAGTGCATTCCATGGCTTGCTGCTACTATCACTGGATGTCTGGCCGTTGTCATCCTAAATTTCTTCACCATTATTGTGTTTGTGATGCAGCGCCATCTGCAGCGCCCGGGTACATACTTGATCATCCATATGGCCATAGTCGATCTCTTGGTTGGAGCAGTTTCGGGTCCAGTGACTGTTAATCATCTTCTGGGGCTCTATTGTGATTTATGGAAGCGAACTGACACGGTTTATCCATTGGTTAATTTGTTTCCCATAACCTCTCTTGTAAATCTCGCTGTTATTTCTTTAGAAAGAATGCATGCCACAATCTTTCCCTTTGAACATCGCGTGATTAAGAAAAGGGTTTACGGAATGACAGTTGCCGCTATTTGGTTTCTAACTTCATCGAGGGAAACTGTTCAAGTTGTTTTATACAAAACACAAGGATATTCTCATCTTACGATGTCATTCTCAACAATTACCGTAGTGTCATTTTGGTCACTTTCCCTAATTTTGATTTGTGTCTCTTATATTTCCATTTTTATCAAAGTTCGATTCAGTCCCAATCCTCAACATCATGGTGCAACCGACAGAGAGAGAAAGCTGACCGCCACCATATTAATTGCAACGCTTGCATCTTTGCTGACGTGGTTTCCAGTTACAGTTGTCAGAATAGTTGAATATTGGCATGAAGGTGTTCTCTTACGCTGGTACACTCAACGGTCCATGTTTCACATAGAAATGACACTAGCGGCTTTAGTTGGCGCTAATTCCTTGGCAAATCCTATTGTATATGCCATAAGGATGCCAGAATTTAGGGCAGGTTTTGTCAAAATGTTCCGCAGAACCCCGAGCACTACATAACAAGCTGATTTGCACCTGTCAAATACACAGATCGCGAGCGCGCATCTTAATATTGAACGTCAACCAAATAGACACATAAATCCTCACATTTGAGCATTGAAAAGTATTAAGATTATCCTCAAAAGTATAATGTAAAGTACACTAGTTTGCTGACGGAGAATTAGCGAGTAGGCACATTCTTAAAACATATGATCGGTTTTGTATAGCCTTTGTTCATTGGTTGGTCTTATAGAACTGCCTATCATTGTTTATGCGAGCCAAAGAGTTGTTTGCTTTAACTTAATGAAGACCTACCATCAGCTTGAAATTAGTTAACACATCATCTTTGAAGAGTGCTATTAACAGCCTATTATAGCTATTAGGAATCATTGTTTATGCGAGCCAAAGAGTTGTTTCCTTTAACTTAATGAAGACCTACCATCAGCTTGAAATTAGTTAACACATCATCTTTGAAGAGTGCTATTAACAGCCTATTATAGCTATTAGGAATCATTGTTTATGCGAGCCAAAGAGTTGTTT